CTCAATCGGAAAAGTTATTTTTCTCCACGACAATGCATGTCCAAATGTGGCATGTTTGATGCAACACAAGATTATGGAGTTGGGTTGGGAAGTTCTCCCCCACCCACCATATTCTCCAGATATGGCACCATAAGATTACCATCTTTTTAGTTTGCTGCAACATCATCTTAATGGGAAAACATATGCAAATGTGAAAGGTGTTAAAAAGGACATCAACAACCTGGTTGTAAGATGGAAAAGCACCATCAATATGAATGGAGACTATTTCATTTAATAAACATTTTGCTTTGATATATCAGCTGTTCGGGATTTTTCATCTATAAAAAAAAGCAACATTAATTTCTTGATGACTTAATACCATATGGTGTAGCTAGGAAAAGCAAAAAATGAAGAATCAATAGGAAAGTACACAGCCAAAAAGCCAATGGTATTCAGTAAAAAAACTTTCTTTTACCTCCTGTGAGGTAGCCTATTGGTGCAACCCCTGAGACTGTCACTACTCTATGGCTGCTATGTTCACAAGATGACCTAAATTACATGTATTTAAAACTGGTTTCATTATGAAAAGCCAGTCTATACAGAATTAGTCTCATGATCCTTTACAGCATATAAGTCAACATTTAATAATTTTTTATCTAAATAGTTTCAAAGATGAGCAACTACACGAGTGTACCAATGGAAATATGTTTATTTACTGACCAATGCAAAGTGTATTTATTTATCATTCTATACTACTACTTATTTATTAACCTGTTATTTCAATCAATAAAAGAATTTATGGGGTGCATTTCCTGCTGTCTATTCTTGATATGACAACTTCACTCCATCAAGTAGAAATGCAGCATTGTTTAAAGATTTAAAGAGTGAGAACAAAAAAGTGCTCTCATATTTTCTGATGGAAAAAAAGGAGTGGGGGGGGGCAAGTCATTTGGGACCAAAGATACCATCATGTGATATCAGACATGTGTCCGTTTGTGGCAAATATCACCAAATACAAAATAACACTACACACTTTGCTGAAAAAGCTATTCCAAGGGCTGTTTTGTATAAGGACTGCACATGTTCCTTTGGACCCTCAAAAAGAAGAAAAAAAAGGGTTCCTTTCAGCCTTTGAAATCTGGAGGAAGCTCTACATACAAAATGCAGTCACTGTGCACATGAACATTTTTATTAAAGGTAATTTATGGCATAAGGATATTTGGTATATAATGGGTCTGTTGTCCAACTGTATGCAACATTTCTTAAGTTTGATTTTATTTTGGAAAAATATTTCTTTTTAAATTTAAATGCTCAACAAATCAGATAATTCCTTAATTCACTTCGTTTTCTTCTTTCCTGCTAGCTAGATTTTATCAGCCAGTTACACTTGAGACCTCTTGCTAACAAGTTAAACTTCAATATCTTCCTTCCCCTTACTGAAATTAGTGTTTCTAGCATGACATATTGACACAAATTTGTAAACTATTAATGACTATTGCTTTGGTTGTATTTTAATGCTCATCAAGAGAGAGTAACAAATTAAAGGAAAAATTTCTGCTTGATAAAATTGTAAATCTTTAATCATTTAAAAAAAAAGTAAAATTTAGTTTTAATCCTATTGCCACAGGCATTCTTTACTGCACGTCATGAGGTTTTAGTGACTTAAATTCAAAATTTTATTCAACTAGATTTTATGTTATATCAATTAGTATAGCATAAAATCTTAGCTAATAATCCATATTTTAATAGTATATAAGTTTTAAGTTCTTAATTTTATAAGGCAATATTTGAAAAAATCCCAAATTTCCCATAGTGTGACATTTTCTTGAGACTTCTCCTCTTCTCTATTTTATACACCACCCGTCCAATAAGTACAAAATTAAATGTAAATTACTCACTATAAAGTCATCATTGCTCAGACAAACCATAATTTTTATAGCCTTCAATTTTGTTTGGTTACAGAGCTATCAAATGGAAACTCAGACCTTTCTTGCCACACTCACCTGTCACATCCTATCTTTCAGGATTTGTTAATAGTTCTCTCATATTTAATTCTATATTATCTATCCAATAGAAAGCCAAGGTTTTCATCTATCAAATGACGTATTATATTATATTGTTAATTTCACTGTCAGTACAAGCTTTGTTCCAATGGGAAAGATAATGACTAGCTTGGCTCGTGTCGCATAATTAGAAAGCTATGTTATTATTCTGTGTTCTTTGGTGCATTATTTAATGAAATAAAAATTATTTTGTGCATTACTACTATTAGTATAAAAAGTTTGGTTAAGTGTCATCGACAGCAGAAAAAAAAGAATATTTCTTGTTTTTCATGTATATTCTTTATTTATTATTACAAATATAACTAAAATGTAAAAATAGGGATCTTTTTTTAGGTCAGATTAGGTAAAATAAATAATAATAATAAAAATGTTTCACCAGGTACGTATATGAGCAACTCATGGGTAACGTAATTCGATAACATTACGTGAGTTGCACGTTCCCCAAGTGACTTACAACTTATAATGGTGAGAATAATAGTTAGACACAGTTCAAAGGGCAATGAAACAATAAAACTTAATTATAAATAGATGTATACTGTTATGAGTATAAAGCTACTTAGGATAAACTTAGATAAGAGAAAAAAAGTAATAAACACAAAAAATTAGCAGAAAAAGTAAACGAAGGTCAACTTCAACAAAAAATCGAAGAATACCACACTCTTCTTGGAATGACAGGAAAAGTACAAGAGGAATGGAATAGGTTCAAAAATATAATTATGAGATATACCTCGGATATATGTGGAACGAAAGTGAATAGGAAACCAAGGCAAAAGAGCTCACCCTGGTGGACTGAAGAAATAAGGGAAATAGTAAAAGCAAAGAAAAAGGCCTTCCAAGCATGGCTAAAAGACAAATCTGAAGAAAAGTACATCAACTACAAAATAGCAAGGAGAGATAGCAACATAAAAATAAAGAAAGGCACAGAAAAATCACTGGGAACAATTTGGAGTAGACCTTGCACCAGGGAAGAGAACAGCAGTAAGAACTTTCTACAAAAAAAGTTAAAATAATGTGGAAATGGGAAGCAGATTATAATCCAACTGAAGTCCTCAATGACAAAAGATTGTAAAACCATACTTCATGGTACTTGACAGATGGAGAGATAATTTCAGTGATTTGCTCAACCTAAATGAATCAACAGATTGCAGAGAAGAACAGAAAGCAACAACACTTGAGTCATGCCTATTACTATCAGAAGTAGAAAAGGCACTTAAAACAGTTCCAAGTAATAAAGCAGCTGGCAAAGATGGTTTCAATTCAGAACTGATCAAGGCCACAGGAGAATCTGGTAAAAGATGGCTAAAAAGGATTTTCCAAGTAGCATGGGAGCAGCAGGAAACACCCGAAGATTGGCAGAAAGCAATCATAGTTCCCATATGGAAGAATAAGGGTAGTAAATGAGATTGCACAAAGTACAGAGGGATATCACTCATAAATCGTACAAGAAAACATACACTAAGATCATCAAATGCAAAGAATATAACATGAAAATAAATACAGAGAAGATTGAAGTAATGTCTATTGGAAGACCATGAGAAGAAATTAAAATTCGGATGAATAATACTGTCATCAAACAGACAGAATAATTTAAGTATTTGAGAAGTGTATTTAAGAAAGATGGTAAAATTGACAGAAAAATAAACATAAGAAGAATAAAAGCAAATCACATTTTAGGCCAACTTTAGCCACTGCTAATATTCCAATTAACACAAAAGTTAACCTCATAAAAACTATATTTCTTCCTATACTTTGCTATCAATGCCACACCTGGAATCCTAACAACTTCACAGAAGCATAAGATCACTACAACAGAAATGATATGTCTGAGATAAGCCCTTGGAGTATCGCACCGAGATAGAATCAGAAATGAAGTTATCTGAGAAAGTTGGGAGTAAGACCAATCTTAGAACATATTAAAAAGCAACAAATAAAATGGTTTGGCCACCTCACTAGGATGCCTTGGAATAAATTGCCACAACAAGCGGCAATACAACAACACAACGGATACAAGGCAAGGGGCAGACCAAGAAGAAGGTGGAGTCAAGACATGATAGGTAACATTAAACACCACGAAATTACCCTTAGAGAAGTTCTAGATAGAGCACATCAAAAGTCGCTACATTTTCCCTCTACACCTCACAGCACACAGAGGAAGATAAAGTAAAGCAAGTAAGTAGAAAAAACGAATGTAGTTTCATGTTACAAGTTGAAGTCATTCTAGAGAGAAAAAAAGGGTAATTTAGATTTATTTCAATTTTTTTTTTTTGGGTGGTTACAAGGTCAGTCAAATTGACCAACCTTGTATAGAGTTAGGGTAGAGAAAATAACAGATAAAATATAAAGTTTTACTGAAAACGAACATTTCAAATGTATTTAGGAAGTTTTAGAGATTATGCAAATGAAATTTGAGATATTTTTAATCTTAACATGAAAATCACTTTACACACAGACTACTCAAAACAAATACTGGATATATCATGGGCAAATCTTTTTTTTTTATTTTATATAAAATACTTCACTAAAAAATATGATTTTGTGTAGGTGAAACATTTAAAATATTTACTGAAGGACTGCCAAATTTTCTAAAGATATACACTATATTAAAAGTTAGTAGTATCAAATCTATAAAGACTTTGAACAACTAAAAAGAGGTCACTTTGTCGGTCAAATTGACTGAGTCCACGTTCAGAGAGTTAATTAGCTATGTAGCTTTTTTACCTTTAATTTTAAGACTGAACACTGCTGCAAAAACACTGATAAATAGAATAATAAACTACTCACAGTGTTAACACTGAGCAGTTGTGTATTTAACAATACCAAATCCAAAAGTGGCAGTTATAAACACTTACTTTTTCTTGTCGAGGTTCCATCTCAGCTTCTTGCTGTTCTTTGGGTAACTTTTCTGACTTTAGAGCCTCTACACTAGTCTGAAGATCACTTTCAATGTAGTGAAGAGCGGGAGATTTCAATAACTCTCCATTCTTACAAAGTTCATCTCTCATCTTTATAAAAAATGACTGAAGCTCTACAGAATCTTCAAATACTTGAGAATCAGTTCTGTTCTTTCGGCGGGCTTGTTCAAATACTTCAAAAACATCTTCTTGAAAGCGGTCCAGTCGACGATAGCGACCCTAAATTACAAATCACAAACCCATTCTTATTTTTTACTTTATGGTTGAATGGAGAATTTCTAACAATATTCAAACATTCAAATTGTTATCTGAAATGATATTGAGATAGGAAACAGTTTTTCTTCATCATTCCTATATTTTGATTGTCAATAAATAATGACAATTAAGAACTTGTTGAGTATTTTAATAAACATACATTTTAACTTAGAACTGTCATTATTTTGATATATATACTTTTCAACAGGTAAGGGCATTTAGCCCACTAGCATGAACCTTATTTTTTGGAAAAAAAGCACACAAATATCATAAGCTCTAAAATTATTAAAGTCTGTAAACTTTGTTGAAAGTGTTTAAATCTAGTTAATATTAACAAGCCCTGTTTATTAAAGTGTAGTTTTCCTTAATGTTAGATGAGATGTAATATTCAACAGAAAAAGAGGAATTTCAGTTAGTAACTGGAGTGAATTAGAGTTTTACTTAAGTTAATACAAGTTCTTCAAAAAGGAGTTATCCGTCAACAAAAGCCCAATTCTTGACAGTAGACATAATACAGAGTTATTTACAATAAATATTAGAAACACAGTAAGACAAAAAAAAACATCTTTAATTACATATGTTTAGAAAATGTTTCAAATTTCATCATCAGCATTAAAACCTAAAAAAAAAGTTAATATACAACATTCTAACGACAAAAAAACTTTTATCCAACCAAAAGTTAAAAAGAACACATTTTTAAATGATAACAATATAATGGAATGTATAGATCTTGTTTCCAATTAGAATGTTGTGAATTAACTTCTTTTGAGGTTTAAATGCTGATGATGGAACTTAAAGCAGTTCCAAAACATCTGTAATAAAAAATGTCTTTTTGGTATTGCTGTCTCTAATATTTATCATAAGTTGCTTTTTTTTTTATGGATATACAAAGAATGAATAAACTAGTAAAGTAGCAGATATTTATTTTTCATAATATTCTAAAACTTCATTCATGATGTCAGAGAAACACAAAGGTTCAAGAAGTCTTAATATAAAATGATAAAAACTCTGTAACCCAATCACTTTCAAAAGGTGGACCTTTCTTCTTCAGTTTGCCCCTGAAGAAGAAATGCCTGTTTTTAGAAAACATTTGGGTATAAAGGGTTTTTATTGTTTTCTAAAAATTCAGTTAGAGAAACGAGGATGTGTTAAGAAAAATGTATCTTGTAGATCATGTCACTTTTTGAGATTTTTCAAAAAACAAAAACAGAACCCTGTTTAAAAATAAAAAACACAGAAGGAAAAGATATCTTAGCAAGAAGAGGTTATTTCTTACAACTATTTTAATGAACCACAGGGTGAGTATAATGTTTATTTTTATACCAAATGTCAGTGTTCTGTTTAAAGAAAGAAAAGAGTGTGCCAAGAAAAGCTAGTAAGATTGTATTCTAGCAATCTTAAATTTTTTGTTTAAAAAAGACTAGGATGTTCAATGAAAACTTATTTCAGGTAGATATTTGCATTTATTCTTATAAACCTTAATTTTTGGTTTTAAAAAATTAGGATATGCCACAAAATGGCATTATTTAGTGAAGTTTAAATTTAACATTATTCTAATAAATTTCAATGTTGTGTTTAAAAATACTAGGATATGTCACAAAAAGACACTTTATTTAATACATTTCAATTTTCTGACTGTATTAAAGATTAGAACGTAAAGAATGGAAACCCCCAGTTAGTAAGTAGAAGTCTGAATTTAACATTATTCTCACACATTTCAATGTTTTATTCAAAGATGTACAGATATTTAAACAGACCCACAGTTAGTAAACAGATGTAGAAAGAAAATACGTCTTACAAACTCCACAAAAATACTTACTCTGTCCAGGTTCCTCTTAATCATATCAAGTGAAAGTGGCCTGATTGAAAAGCAGAATAAAATCAAAATGATTTTTAATTATGAAAAATGAAGAAGGGCATTTTATTTACATGATATTACTTTCTAGGTAATATTGTTATGTCCCATAACTTGTAAGAAAATCTATGTTCTAACTAGAAAAGTTCTTGAAACCAAAATTATGTGTAATCACAATAAAACTAAGTAATAAGTTTGTAAATTTTTCAGAAAAAAGATCAACATTAAAGATAATTTGTTAGCTTCCTTAAGTTTAATGAGTGACTAGGACTAAAAACCTATAAACTAATCGAGCCTGATACTACAAAACCTGAAATATAATTCTGATACCTAGATAACCTTCATCATTTGACTTGAAGTCATACAGATTTTAATGTGTAATTAGGATTCAAAATTCCCTTTTTAAAACTTTTTTACCAAATAATCTAAACAAAAGAAACAGAAACATGACTTCCGATTTAATATTAAATGTTATGCTTAATAACGGATTAACAGTTTTAACTCAAACCATAAGCAGAAAAAAACAGTTTGAACTATGAAAGATCTTGAAGGTCTTACTTCACCATTATGCATTTCTAAGTAACAAACTTTTCTCTTCATAAAACATGGTACCATTTGGTAATATTCACTTCACTGCTAACTTAACTATTCATCTTGAGGAATCATATTTTTGCTTTTATACAAACGAGACTCACATCTAGTCTAAATTGTCTCAGAATAACTCGCACTAGTAGCTGCATAAGTTTCCATACATACACAGAAGCATCAATAACATCCTTCACATAGCTAAAAATCCCAAAAGTAATATGTGTCAATGTTGAAAAACATATTTAGATAAAAGGGAGACTAAACTTTTTTTCAGAATATACACATTTCCACAAAAGAGTTTAGTATGCTACATTAAAATGACCTCGAATGTGAAAATCAGAAAGTAATATGGCAACTAGAGTTGATATAAAGTTTCAGTGAGAAAGTATGTATAAGAACTACATTATGAAAGTGTTTGTCATTTGTAGGTAGATTATGACACCAAAAGTTAGCATTTTCTTATACTGAAAAGGTATTTCCAATAGATGCTTACCTTTGCTAGCAAAATAGCTTTTCTTGAATAGCACTGCACTCTACCAGTGCAAATTTTCAATGCCCACCACTAGCTTTCTACCTTCCACTTCTGCATATCCACATGCAAATGATCATGCAGCAGCTCTCCACTAATAGGTGGAACGCTAGTAGTGTGCATTGAAAATTTGTGCCAATAGAGGACAGTGCTAGTCAAGAAAATATATTTTTTGAGCAGAGGTAAGATATTTTATCAAAAGGGTAATCATACTATTCAACACAAAGACATACCAGTCAGATAAGCTATGTGATTAGTGAAGTTTGATAATTAATTTTTTGGCTCATTAATCCAACTCATTCCAACTTGTACAAACTTCTGCACCACCTTTTCATTTAGGTATGAACTACACCTGAGGGGAGAAATGATAAAGAAGTTTTGCTAGGTGAGAAAAAGCCCTCCTGAATGCCTACGATAGCAACTTTTGTCAGAACCAGTAATTAAATAAAGTTAATTACTGTCTATAACTTGTTTAAGAAGGTGCTACATATTAAAACATATTTTTGCATCAAAAATTTCAAGAAATATTTTGAATAAAGATGTAGTCAATTTTTGAGTTATAAAAGGGTAAATTATAGTAATTGTCATCCATTGCTCTTTCCTTTCCTTATTTTAGAACCTTCCATGGCTTAAACTTTAGTAATGCAATTTAATTGGCCAAACTGAAGTACCTAACTAATGTAGTCCTGGCATTAATAATCTCTTTTGACACAATAGTTGTGTGTTAGACAAATAGGAGAAGTCTTATTTTTGAGAACAAAGGCTACAGCTGGACAATTAGTGAAATATGATAATAAATGAACATCAGGCTCGTTAATTGATTGTTCTCATGAGATTTGGATACTTGAATAACTAAAAATATTAATAACTGGAAACACTAATTTTGATTAGTTGTTTACTTTTGTAAGCCATAACTAATCAGTTAATCTGAACAACCTTGAATTAATTGAAAATAAAAATGAAAAAATAATAATGGCAATACTTCCATTATTTAGATAGTTGGAATAACTGAAAACAGTAATATCTGGAAACACTACTTTTGATTAGTTGATTATTGAACGAATTATCATTTCAATTAAGTGATTATTTTACGTAATATTAATCAATGCAATCAATGATCCTATGTAATTGAACATAACATTTAATAGAGTGAATTGTCAAGCTCTACCAGTCAAGTTGCTGGACAAAGTGCCTTTGGATTTCTATGCAATTGTACTTTTGAAACTGTTGTTCTTGTACATTAGATGGACTATGTAGAGCATATAGGGAGGAATGGTTTGTTTATGATTGAGGCTTTTGTAACAGAAACTACATTACAAGGATATTGTCAAGATGCATGATCATAAGACTAAGAATATGACTTGTAAAAACATGGTGAGACTCCATAATAATTTTCTATAATGTATTCAACCTCTGTGTGCACACATATACACACACAAGCCTATAAGAGTAAGAATACACTTATCAATGACTGAATTTTATGGAAACCACATGCGATTGTTCTCACTTCATTATACAGGGATGTAAGCACTGTACATATAGTAATCATTCTATAAAATGACCAATTCTTGATGAGAATTGATATGGAAACTTAAAAAGAAAATCTTTGATTTATTACTTACTTTTGAGGATCTTGAGGTTCCAGTGAGCTCTCTGTTTCTGAGAATTCTACTATTGAATCACTGTAACAACGACCTTCTTCATCCTAGCACAATAAGCATTTTAATTTATAAATTCAATGAAAAGTAATACAGTAAAGCAATAAAAAGAGATAGTTTTATTTCATCACTAAGATATCAAACATAAAGTAAAATTCATGTGTATGAAATACAGAAATATTAAGTTCTACACATTTTTGGAAACTGAAATTGTTTCAAAAACACATTACCTAACAAATCTGAAGCATGGCTCCTAATCAAATCTCTATTCTCATCAAATAAAACAAACTAAAAGTTGAGTCAAAATATATAAATATTTATTAAATATGGGAAACAGCACAACCTTATATTAAACTCTCTAACCTGCTGGTTATACACAGATATAAACAAGTTTGTTATCAGTTCTTGCACCAGAGCTTTTACATCAGGAACTCCATCTTCCAAATCCTCTGTCAAGTCCTGTTTAGTTTGAAGAGCAATCCTCTGAAGAGTCAGGGCATCCTAAAATAAAAACCCATCACATACATCATGTCTGTCTTGCATATGTCTCCATGTGAGACTGCTTACTGAACCTACAAAACAACTAAAAAGAGTGATTGCATATTATAGACTACCATGTATTAATAGTTTTTAGCCTTCATTTTTTGTGGTCAAATTATTCTTTCAAAAAGAATGTATTAATAGACTTTCAACGACACACTATTTGCTGAATACCACTGTTGATAAAACTTTCCTATTGGATCATTTATATAAAATGCAGTGTTAGATTAGTTTAGATTTCATGTTGTTAATTACTGATACTACATGAAAGCTAACCTTATAAATCTGGGAGTCTGGTTCATTATATTGACATGCATTGTCAAACATAAGCAGAAAGTCAGCAATGAGCTCTTCCAAGTTATCATAGTACCCATTTCTCACACGACTTCCAATTTTGTCCAGATCTATAGGGCGTTTTATCACTTCAAAATAGTCAGGATAGTCCTAAAACAAACAATAAGGAATTAGTATGTGACTGTTTGAACTGTTCCAATAAGAGAAATATGCATTCTTTAAATGCCTCATAAACATTTTATTAAGATAAGTTGTGTTTAATCTAAAATGTATCCTACAATCCTACAGTTGAGAATATAAATCATAACTAATAAAACAAATTCTGAAGATCAAGTTTCTGGCCAGATGCAATGAATATATAATTTATTTTAATATCTAGTCATCTGCTATGTTTAGATTTTGAAAGCTTGACTACATTACAATCCAACTCATCAGGTAAGTTTTATACTACATTAAAGGGAACTTACTGTCTTGGATGGTAATTTATTGAAAATAACAGACAATTTCCTTCCCCTGTTATCTGTATACTCTTTCACAGTGTCATACAAACTTCGTAGCTTCTGATTTATTACACCACATGGCCTTCCTCTTCCTCTGCTCAACAAAAGTATTTCAATGCATATTACTTCTCAGAAGAAAATACACACATTATATACATGCAAAATTCTGAAAACAAATTACAGTTACATGGCCATACAATTATAATTTTCCAGCATACATTCTCATAATTTGACAATTTAGTGCTTTTCTTACATTACTTAAACAATTTTTGCCATAACATTATAATTAAGTAGCTCCTGAAGGGTAATAAATGTTTCTGTTTAACTCAAATGACTTAGAATTAATCAGCTTTACCTCCAAATCATGACTTTACTCACTTGACAGTAAGTTATGAAAATCATTTAAATATGTTTTGCTTTAATATATTTTAACCTCTGATCATAATCTTTCTTTGAATAGCTTTGAACTTTCTACAGATGAAATATTGCTTTAAATACATAAAAGGAAAATGCTCCTTTATACAGTTTTGAAATATCTTTACATGAAACAATGCTTTCTGTGTATTAGTAAGTGACTATAAAGACTAAGGTTCTTTCAAGTAGTTTTATGCTTTCTATCCATGAAGCACTGCTTTATGAATATGTACTTACTTGACAGTAAACAACAAAGCTCTTTCAAGAATGTTGTTTTACATATGTATACTTATATTACTATAAATAACAAAAGTTTCACTAAAACCAGTCCAGCCCACATCATGAACCGTCAGAGCTTATAATGTACGAGTATTGAACCTTAAACTATATCAGACTGGAAAATATTATCAAATAAGAACAGAAGTAAAATCACAATTTCAGTTATAATTTAAAACTTAAAATAATTTTCATTTTATAGTAATAAAATAATTATAGACTTTAATACTTGATATTTCTTTAATCAGATTATTTATAAAACAATTAATTTTTGATCCATCAAAACCTTATATTAGTCTAGCCAGAAGCCACAGTTTATAAATGCAATTATGTAGCCATGGCATTTTTTGAATAACTTACATATGACAGCATTATCAAAGTTGGAATTTCTAAACTTATGAAAATCAAGGGTAGGTCAGTGGTACCATATTTATAACTTAATTTGTTTATTGTTGACAGCCAAAAAACTTCTAAAATCTAAAAGTGTGTCTTAGTTGTTATTTCATACAAAATAAAAATGTTAATGTTGATGATAGAATTTCATTAATATTGTATAACATCCTATTAAATGTTACTGTTTTAAGATGTTTTTAACTTTAGATACAGGTTGCACAACTTTAAATTTTGCCACATAATCACTGTATAGTCAGATATTTTATGGTGCATAATTTTACACTGTTGGCCACATTATTTTAATTTTTTTTTCACAGGGCACTATCTATTGGTTCAAGCTTCAGGGATCATTTGGAAAAAATAAGTTATCTTTGTATTTTAAGAAGATCCGTGAATGAAATGTATATACACACAGCCTACTATTAAGTAAACAGGCACCCACTCCTGAAGAAGTGTCATTTCGTTAAATAAACAAATATGAAACAAAAGGTTGAAAAATACCATTAACATTTAGTAGACCTGCCCATTGCAATATTCAAGACACAAAAATTGTTATATGCCATATTTACAAACTCTGTAGATATTGGTTTTTTTGGGATGCTTTTGCAGGGAATGATCATGGATGAACCATATATAGTCAATAGGGTTCACATCTAGCGAATGATCTACCCACAAGACAATGCAATGATTTTCAGTAGTGACCAATGGATGTGGATCATTCTCATCACAGCATGAAGAGTCATTCTGTTAGCTGGTTTAGGGTGTGTGGGCCATGCAAAAATTGACATTTTCTGAATTGTCATTTTATTCACTGTGGATAGAGTACTTCAAGTTATCTCACAATTTCTTCCTACTTTTGATCACCCTCCCATCATCCAACAATGCAGTCTCATGAAGAAACAGTTAATTCTGGGATTCTTTCATTTGCTGAATAGTTATTTGTGTTCTGTAGCCTTTACAAAGCTATATATGTATTGATTTGCACATGATGCCATGAAAATGGTGAATTTGTATTCTCTGGTGTGTCTATTAATTTACTGGTAAACTGTGTGTATATATGTATATAATTATCATGGCTAAATTATTAAAATTAATTATTAAGAAGGAAAAACAACAGAGTATTAACTTTTTCTAGACCAGTGAGCACCTTATACATGTTGAGTGTACATCTGCTTATTAAATTTCAAAATGTAAGTAAAAATCATAATTCAGAGGAACTACATGAGCACTGCTTTCCTGCTACAAGTCAGATTTCTATGTTTGCAGTGGGAGTTGTGGGTGGGGAATACTTTCAGAAGTAAGTATTTGCATAAAATTAATTTTAAATTAAAACTAGGTAGACTTAACTTTGAAATACTGTAAGCTAAAATAATTACATTAGGGAGGAGAAGGGAATCAAATAATGTCATAATAAAAGAAACTGGATCTCAGATGCTGAGCTCTGGAGTAGGAAAGATACTTAAACCATAAAACACTGAGTGGTGTAGTTAAGCAGAGCTTGACCATAAATCACAACCGGAATGATAAGAACTAGACTGGAATCTTCCAGAAGAACTAAGTGGAGAGGATTGGCATCATCCAGAAGAACTGAATGGAGGGGACCAGCCTCTAAAGAGACAGGACCAAAAATGTATACACCAGAAAGAAATATCTTTCCTTTCATTAAAGTACTTCTGGTTAGAGCTATGAGATAAATTGGAGAGCAGCTGTCATGCCTTTGAGAAAAGGTACCCACTGAGAAATTAACTGCCACCTGATGGTATCCTCTTCTCACTTCAAGAGGGCATCATCCTTTCGTGAAGTGTCAGCACAGAGGGTGGAATAGTGTCTAGGACAATCACAGAGGTAAAAGGAAGCATATGCCAGGCCTTACTGAAGGAAATCACCTAAACAGAGAGTCTCATACTATGGGAGTTAACCCATGAAGGGTGTTTTAAAAAGTGTGAATGAAATTATTTTTCATGGATTCCTTCTGATTTGGAGTATCATCACTGGAGGTAAACAGAAACCTGAAACTGAGGAGACAGCAACATGATTTAATTAAAAGTTTAATACTGCCCTGCAGAATGTCTTGTATTGAAGTTGGTTAGATGACATCTGAAATTCACTCTCAAGGTGATAAGGTAAATCATGGTACACAAGATGGTGCATTTAGGGCATAGATATCCAAATACTTCCTACCTACCTAACCCAAGCAAAAAGTGAAAAATATGTCACTTTGAGCAACATCAGAACATGGAAATGTTAAGCTATACAAACTATAGTTCTGAATTTACTAATTGTATCTTCACAAAATTTGGCAAGTTTTTAGTAAATATTAACCCGATGACCACCAGCTACCAACTTTCTGAGTAGCCAATGCAAATCTTGCTATATTTCATTCAACAATAAACTAGTGGGTGAAACTGTTTGAAACTTCATAAGAACTTTCATAAATGCATGTAGTTTAAGAAACATAAAGCCTGTTACTTTTGATAAATTTAGTTATTTTGCATTATGATCTCTAATATCTTGGAAAATTACATTTGTAAATGGTATTTATAAGAAATTATTACAATACTTATATTTGTTCCAGATTTGAACTTATTACTTATTATGTTTTAGTACATTATTTTGAAATCCCCCCAAAATTATATTGTCCATAAAATGCAAATTATTTGTAACTAGGATTTTATGTTTATATATGTACATAAAAACATTTCAATTTTGTTTCATAAATGTATTTTTATTTCAAGTTTATGTCTATGTTTCATTGCAGCCATATATTTGTTTATTGTGCCAAATAAATCGTGAGGTTATCAGCATGAACTTTGTACATTTACTGTTAACTATCATGCCTGTTGGTGGTCACTCTCGTTCAGTTCAGCGCAGGCACATTTCAACATTACTGTAGACACGATAATAAGAAAGCTTTCCGGTACTTGAATATCATTTTGTGTTTATATATGTAAATAAAAAACATTTTAATTCTGTTTCAAGTTTATGTCTCATTGCAGCCATACTTTTGTTTATTGTGCCGAATGAATCGTGAGGTTATCAGTGTGAACTTTGTACATTTGCTGTAAACTATCATGCCTGTTGGTGGTCACTCTCGTTCAGTCCAACGCAGGCGCATTTCAACATTACTGTTGATACGATAGTAAGAAAGCTTTCCGGTACTTGAATATCATTTCTTTGAACTTTCAAACAAGTTTATTTCAACATATGTCTGTGTATGTTGTTTCACTATACAGACAACGCTAATTGCCATTACTAGCAAATCTATGCAATAGTTTACAGTACAGGTGGTTTGAATAACACCGCCTGACCCTAGTTACTTGATACATCCTGTTAGAAGAGATTACCAAACGATACAGACACCATAAATTATAAAGAAAATTACTTTACAGCACTTAAAAGATTAGTCCTGGTTACATTCCTCCCATTATAGGCAAGATTTATGTTGGAATTTGAAACTTAAGCTCTTCAGTGTTTTGAGACCCCAACTGTGAGAATGTCATAGCTTCCATGTATTATTGAGAGGAATGTATTTCGTCTGTTTCACAACCAACATATGAGTTTTATTGTTGTCACTTGTACACCGAGTTTTAAACCATTTGAAAAATATCAGAATAAACTTTATATATATCAGTAAGACTGTTTTAATTCTAAAGCAATAACAACAGAAGTGTTGGTCTTACTACAAATTAAAGATTGTAAGAAGGAAAAATATAAAATTCTTATGCGGTACTGGTACTAGTAGTATTACGTACAAACCACACAAGTTTATCATTCTAAATGCTGAATCATATTATTATTATTATGAACTAAATATAAAATTATGCTAAATTATTGAACTTAAAACTACAAATTTAAATGCAAAAGAATATAAAAAATCACAAACTCTTTCAGTTGAAAGTGCTAAGCCAAATTCATGTAAAGATCTTGCACTCGCCACTTGATAGCTCTTAACCCTAACAATTGTGGATCAACTTCTTTCTTAAAAATATATCTATTTTGAGTTAATTTTTC